CGTCCGCCACGTCCCGCCCCGCGCCCCGCGCCCCGCGCCCACCACGGCCGCCGAGCCCCCGACCCGGCCGGCCGCACGAACCCCGGCCGCGCGCCGCCGCCGGAAGTGGGCGTGTGCGGCCACCGCAACGCCCCCTGGGAAGCGTAGTCCCGGCCAGGACGGCGGCGGGACTGAGCGGAGCGCAGGCCGCAAGGCGCGGTCCCTCCCTGGGCCTACACAGAGTCCATCGTCTCCCCTCCCGGTCGGCCGCTTCCAGCTCTTCGGGACCGCGGCCTCCGGGTGGCCATCGACGCCCGGCCCGAGCCTGTCCGGAAGTACAGGCCTCCCGACGGACAGACAGCGCCCCACGGGCTTCTGGGAGTCGGCGCCGGCTTCGGGTTCGCGCAGGCGCGGTTCCATGGCGGGGCGGGCGCTGACGGCGAGGGGCGGGGCCGCAGGGCTGACGAGGCTGGCGCTGGGATGCGGCCGGTGGCGCGCTCCTCGGGGGGGCGTCCCACGGGTGTCCCCGCCGACCGAGTGCAGGCGCGCGCGCGGCGAAGGGCAGCGCTGGACCTTGCCGGTGTCCAGAGTGTGATTCTGCTGGGGGTGTGTGAGCACAGCGTGCCTTCGCGTCCGATTCGCTGCGCACCTTTGAGCCCAGGCGGGTCCCCGTGCCCCTGGACGCTCGCGCCTCCCCCGCTCCCCGACACCCGTCCGCCAGATGCCACTCCCCCTGCGCCTGTGGGTCCTGCACCTGAGCGGCCTTCCCCCAAACTCTCGTCGGGGCTAGTTCCCACCTGTCACTCTCACAGATCGCTGCCCAGACTCGCAGTCACAAATGCCACTCACCTCGTGACCTTTGAAAAATCTGCTGCATAACCTTCATCCTTATCTGAGTTAACTGATGTTTTTATTCATTTATGTGTTTAGGGCCAGTCTTATCAGAGCCGTCCAGAGCCTTCTGGATCCCTGCAGCTGAAAACCTCGTTCCGCCCAATGAATAACCTCACTTAACAGCCGGGGCGCAATGCTGTTGTTACGCTCACCATCACAGACCCGAGAGGCTACACGCCGTTACATTATTTGGCATTTTGTAATACCATTGAAGACAGAAAAGAGAGGAGTGGTAGCCAGGGACCGGGGGCAGGAGGAGGAGACGCACTGCAAAGGTCTTCTATATCTTGGTCGTAGTAGTTACAGGACTGTATGAATTTGTCAAAATTAGAATTCTACACCTAGGGGCGCCTGGGTGGCTCAGTCGTTAAGCGTCTGCCTTGGGCTCAGGTCATGGGATCGAGCCCCACATCGGGCTCCCTGCTCGGCGGGAGGCCTGCTTCTCCCTCTCCCACTCCCCCTGCTGTGTTCCCTCTCTCGCTGTGTCTCTGTCAAATAAATAAAAGTTAAAAAAAAAAAAAAAAAGAATTCTACACCTGAAGTGAGTACGTTTTACTGTACTAGCTTTTAAAAACTCATGAAATTTTACACTTAACATCTGTGTGTAAATATTTCCCATTAAAAATAAAGTGGTAAAGCCCTCACTGACATAGAACCGAATCTAAACCATTTTAATTAAAAGACTTTGATTTAGTAAAATGGCACTGGCTGGGGAGGGAGCCTAACTATGAACTAGCGAAAAGAAAACCATGGGCAGAGAATATAACCTGTCCTTTTTCCTTCTGAAACTGGCCTTGGGGTTATAATTGGTGTGTAGGACTTCTCTTCTACTTTATATAATGCCATACTTCTCCTAGTCTTGGCCAATGCCTCAGTTAGGGATAACCTGACCCAAACCATCAGTGGCCTGGGTGGTATTGCAAGTGTCTTCCATTTCCACTTCCGTTTACCATTGTGCATGATAGTTCAAGGAAGGGGGCCGTCCATAATCCTCCCAAGCCCCAATATTCTATTTATTCTTGCCTGTCAGGATCAATCACTGTGGCTTTTTTATCCCTCTAGTGGCATGAGACATATGGAACAGATAGAGGTCATCTGACCTTCACTGCACCCATTGTTGTTCCTGATTGGAAGACTTCCTCCCAGGACTAAAACATTTACACAAGCATAACTCAGAATTGGGAGAGAGAAACTAACAATTTTGAACATGGGACATTATACATGGCAATTAGTACAAGGAAATGCCCCAACCATAATGTCTTTCCAGTAACTGTTATAGAGCAACCCCCACCCCATCCCCACCTTTTTAACTTTATAAAACCAACCACTATATTTTTTCCCTTTTTAAAAAAATCTGCTCTCCTAATGACAAGAGCTTAAAATGGCCAAGTGGCATTCAACTTCTGATTTAATGATACCATTACCGTTTGCCCTAATGGAAGAATTCTTCCATTTGGTGCTAAAAACAAACCTCCACATCACCAGAACCCAGAAAACATGAGATAAAGAACCAAAAGTTTTAATGTGAGTCCTTCAGCATACACCTATCCTTTCTTTAGGATTTTTAATCCATTTTTAATCCATTCCTGATAAAAGTGCCCCTAAGTGAAATTTCATTTAAACAAAATGAAAAAAAAAAGACTTCCACTACATTTAATATAAAAATGATGCTTTTACATCCCAACCCTAAGGACTCAGTTTTTGCAGATAGAAAAATAGATCAACTAACAATGAATAAATAAAATCTTCAACTAACAATGAACACAAGTTTACAACAGTAAAAAAATATTGAGAGCAAAAAATAGTTAATACATAAAATGTAACACAGTGAAGATTCATTTTACTTGCTAAAGTGGAAACAGAAGACAGTGGTGGTGCAAAGGAGTCATTTTTTTCAGGAAGAACATTCCTCTTTCTGCTCCCCCCTCAGTGTTTCAAACTTTTGGGGGGCTTGAGGTTATCTTGCACATTTCTGCCTAAGAGTAGTCATGTTACAGAAAAAAGCAAAATATTTAGGCAAAAATAGGCTAAATAAAGTGATACAGAGCATACTTCTTGCTTGTTGTACGCATTAAAAAGCACAATATTCGGATTCATCTACACATGGTATGCAATTCAAATTTGTCCCACATAATAGCCTCTAACTAAAAACTGTTATGCTGAGTAAACTGGTGAGTGTGCTTTGTCTGAAACCCTATGCTGAAATATTACTCTTTATAGTGTACTTAGTGTATCTATTTCTTAGTGACGGAGGGGGGGAGCGGCAAGGAGTAGCAACTTACTCTTCAATATGCCCCCAACCACTGGGCACACTCACTAAGGTGGCAGTTCCCAGTGTTGTCTTGGGACTTGATTTAGGTTAGTGTGAGTTTTACCAAACCAAGTAGGAATAACTAGTTGAGTTTGTCTACCAGGTTTCAGTCAGGAAACACACACACCATGGGGTTCAGTAGAGGAAATATAACACAGGGAACTAATATAAAAAGGTGTTGGGAGAGGTGAGAGGAAGAACAGGGAGGCAGCTCAGATCAGTTACAAAAGAGCAGTTACCAACCCTGCAGCTTGAAGGCCAAAAGAGTGGAGGGGATATTATCACAGCCGCGAACCAGGGCCACTAGACAGATCCCTAGGGACGTCCCTAGCAGGAGGTGGGACCATAATAAGGGGTGAGTGGAGCGAGGTAGAACAGAGGTGATACAGCTATTACCATAGTCACCACCTAAAGCAGAGCAAGTGAGAAATACCCTGGCTTCTCACCTTCTGGGGTATTGCTAGTGCCTCCTACTTAGTAAATCACACAGAAAACCAGTTGTCAAAGGACTCTGGGAAACATCACCTGCAGAGCTTAAACACATACAGTAGATTGTAGAGCAGGGGATAAGGCAGAAAATGGATCTTAAAGCAAAAAGGCCAATGACTGGCACAGGATCTCG